TTCATAATAAAGAGGGACGAAGTCACATAAATTATAACTAAAAGGTTCATAAAGTAGTGACCTTCCCCTATAAACTCCATTGTTGATACACATTTTTTTCTTTCACTTGGGACCAATGTCCTTGAGAGCATTGATCTGTTCCTCTCCCATGGCTGACATCACACTCACCACTGGATCTTTCCCATCCTCAAACCCACTCTTTATCTGTTTTCATTTCACACAAATCATGTCACTACTTCTCCGGAAAAAAAAAAAAAAACGAGAACGATTAATGTGATCGCAACATTCTTTATTAACGCGATGGAAAATGGCAAAACTTTTATAACCTGTTGAAGAAGAGTGTCATCAGTAGGGAGCTTGAGATCATCCTTGGTGCTACCATTGTCAGTCAACAAACTCACCTGTAAAAGATGATATTACATATTGAGCAAAGATTATAAAAATGGCCAATGGGGTTATTAAGCAAACATACATATCCATCTTCAGAAATGTCAATCAGCTGATAATCGGAACCTGAAACCAAATTCAACAAAACAAAGATAAAAATCTCAATCGGGGAATCCAGAACGAAACCGAATACGTTTATACTCAAAGGAGCCTTTCACATACATCACAGTTGTGGGAAGAAGGAACAATATCTTCAAGCTTCTTGCTCGTGAAAATGTCTATAGCAACAAAATGACATTTAGCATGATCATGCTTCCCTGTCTTTGAGGTTGAAACCTCAACAACCTTCAACATAGATTACATCTATCAAATCTCTTCTTCTCCATAAACGAAACCAAAGATCACAAACACCATGCAAGAATCCTAGCACTCGTGTTTAAGTTTAATCACGCAGATGAATCAAATATCTAGAAAATTTTTCTGCTTACTTACAGACAAGGAATGATCCTAAACCTGATATAATCGAACGAAATCGAAGATACACAAACTGATAATTTGACACCCAAAAAAACGAAATTGAAGGATCACAAGACAAGTTTCAATCGAGTCATCACGGAGATACAAAAAAACATAAGCAGAAGGATCCGAATAATCGATAGATCTAAGCTCAGAGGAAGAGAAATGGAGAAATTTTCGAGGGAAACGAACCTTGCAGGGACGACCTTTGATGACGACGTAACCATTCTTACGGATGGTCCAGCTTGTTGAGGATAGGTTTTGGAAGCTCCGGCGTCGCTAGATTCAAAATGATGCTCCTAGTCGGACATTGTTGCAGCGATATAAGGATTGTGAAAGCTTCGACGAGGAAGAAGACGATAGGGATTTTTTACTGATAAAAAAAAATGAGATGGGCTTTTATACCAAAGGCCCATTTAGGTTTTTCTTTTGCATTTGATTTATAAACTGAGATGGGCTTTTAAGGCCTTAAAGTTAACATACCGTTTCTCCACCGTTGGATTAACATGACAGGAGATGAGATCAGTGTTTTCAAAATGAACTGATGTTTATGCACAAAGTGAAAGAGCAAACAAGTCAAACTTTTTCAACTTGATCTTAATACAAAACCAGAAAATGATGGAACCAGAAGCAATCTCTAGAAAGCCAAAAATCACATTAAAATCAAGAACATATAAGAATATCAAACCATATATAATAAGACAATATTTGTTGACTGAAACACATTGATGGGGAATCACATTCAAAAGAAGAATAAGAATATCAAACCATATAATAAGAGAAGGTCTCTATGATTCTTTCCAACCACCTCTTTTCATGAACTCTCGACATCGAGTTCGCCAATTCGTTGACGAATCTTCCTGTTTCTCCGATGGTACTTGGTCGTCTTTTTGAGAATTCCCCATTTTATTCCCAATTTGCTTTAAGGGTTTTAGGCAGAGGGGCATAAATATTTTATACAACAAGGGTTTTGAGCTTCCTTGCAACGCAAGACTTTACATAAAGAGTGCAAAGGAGATATACACAGAACAAAAAAAAAAAACTTGAGTGTAGAAGAAGAAAAAAAAGAAGGATTTCTTGGATGAAAAGGAAAATACTAAAGAAAAGGAAGATTTCTGAAAAATGATGTGAAAAATAAATAAAATTGTAACAGCTAAAATGATGTGAAAAAAAATGAGCAGAGCCAATTTTGAAAGCTACATCAATTGTTTTTGGGTGATTTAGGCCCAAATACTACATTTAGCAATGGGCTTTATCAATCTTACTTAATGGAAAAAAGGAAAAAAAAGAAAGAGGAAAAAAGGTTAAACCCACAAAATCATGTGATATATATAGTTGTATGCTTAGAATTTTATCAAGAATCCGCCAGTAATAATATAATTAATCATATACCTAATCAAGTCATCATTAATTCCGTCTACAATATAACCTTTATAATAAGAATATAAACGAAAAATCATCTACTTTACATTATGCTCCAAACGATTTAAACTGAACTTTCTATTAAAATTCAAATAATTTTTACTTTCCAGTCTAAAATTATTATTTTCTTATTTTCATTTGGAAGATTTCAAAATAAAATCTACACTAAATGTACAATATTGTATCAAAAGTGGCAATCATTTCTGATTGTTCACGCTTGTTTTTCTCTTGATTATATAGCCTATAATTCATTGTTTCTCAATTTTTTTAAAAAAAAATTGAATTGTTATCAATCTTGATTATCTATGTAGATTTTATTAGAACCTACTTTTTCAGGCTACAGTTCAATAATCAAGTGTTTAATTCATTGCTTTGTGTGGACAAGCGTAGTTTGTCTAATGTTCTTGATGCTTTTCAAAAATTGATGTAAACTTTTCGAAAGGGACTATCTTTATGTAACTGAGAAATTATTTAATTCGCATTTAATAAAATAATACAGATTAAAAAATGGACGTTAAAGACTGACTATAGGGTATTTCTAAATAGTTGTTTTTGTAAAAAGTGAGCTAGTGGGAGACGAGTGGCAAATAATTTACTTTTTCAATCCCAATTTTCTTCTATTTTAATATTGAGTATTGAGTGATCAAAATATTTTTGATTGATAATATACATAATAAATAACGATCAAGTTAATTGTGTTAAAGAAATGATTCATTTAGTCTTTTTACCGTACTTCTGTAAAATCTAAAAATTAATATATTATCTATTTTTACTATTTTATAGTTAAACAAAATTTCATACTAAATAGTTGTTGAACAAGCGGCATGATATATTGTGCTAATGAACGAAAATTCTGATTTTATGAATATAAAAATATTTGTCCAAAATATATTTCTGAGGAGAAACGTATGGACAAGAAACCATATTTTTCGATTTACTTTAAAAGTTCAAAAAACAAGGTTCAATCTCTTTTTTTTTTTGTTTAAACCGTAAAAGTTCCGAATTTTTGGCTCATAATCTCTTCGGTATCCGGAAACAGTTTTTGGATAATTCCGATTTAAAAAATAATTCTCTGTACAAAATAAAATTTGAACCCGGAATACAAAAGAACCAATTTCCTTATGTTACCACTAGACCACCCAGTGGCGTAGGCAGCATGTTGGCATGGTGGTCAATTGACCCACATGAATTTTTTTAAAACCATATAAATTATATTGAGGGTTTTAAGTTGACCCTTACCCAAAACAATTATTGACCCCGGTAAATTATTTTTCTGGTTCCGCCGGTGAGACCACCACACTTTGAGTAAGTTCGATCAATCTATTTTTAACAGTTAATAAAACATGGTTTTATTGTTGAATAATATAAATTTAAAAGAATTTACGATTTAACCAATGTTCTTAATTCAGATTAATCTTAGGAATTTTATAGCGACGGGCATATATAACGATGTTTAATAGAAAAATTGAGGAAAAACGATAGTTGCATACTTGCATGTGTTTATGTATATTTATAGAATTAATATATTTTATCTTTGATTCGCAATGAAATCAATTTGGTGGGACACACCATAAGAACTATGATAGGACCCTTGACTAATACTCAGTTTATAGATCTTAATATATATATATATTTTTTTTTTTTGTTTCTGATGAGAGTGACATTTCCGAAAGTATACTTTGGACCACTTTTAAGGTCTATTCCCAACTTATCTTGAACCCAATAAAAGCATTATAACTATTGATTTATGCATATCTTAGTAATAATAATACAATATTCCTCGATCTATTATATAAGTATTCGGTTTATTAATTTTGATCATTTTCTAATATACAAATAACGTTGTATCATGGTATCGAAGTTTAAATCCAGTATGAAGCTATTTAAATTCACAATTCTCTACGATTAAAATAGTAAACAGAAATGCAAAAAACATTTTAAAAAAAAAAAACTTAGGCACTAAATGGTAACAACATTCAGTAAATTCAGCAAATTCTGCAAATTTCGCAGTTACCAATTAAGTTTGATATTATTCAAGAAATTTCGCAAGAAATCATTAAAAATACAGCAAATTCTGTAATTCAGCAGAAATTCGGCAAAAATTCTGCGGCATCAAATGGTAACAATTTACAAAAAAAAATATTTGTGAAAAATATCATTAAATATAGAAAAATTTTGAAAAATGCATTTTTCAAATGTAATTTCTTAAAAATGCCACATTTTCAAAATTTTTGCAAAAATACTATTTTTAAAAATAATTTACTCATTATATCATTTATGTTTGTGTTAACTATGTTGTATTAAGGTTTAATTTTGAGTAGTTAAGGGTTTTTAGGGGTCAAAAAAAAT